AACAAAGAAGAGGGGCCTCTAAGCCATTTGGGGGAGGGTTAATGAGCAAAGAGTAGGAATAAACCTTCACTAGGACATTTAAAGAAAGAATGGGAATTAGCCACAGGAGTGGGAAGTTGTTGAAAAGCATTTCCCTCCATGATGAGGAACAGCAACAGGAAGGAGGAGGGAGGCCCTAGGGCATGTGGGGTGTGATGGGGCCTGCTCTGGGAAGATCCTGAGGCCCAGGACATGTATCCCACCAATAAAGTAGCAATCTTTTTCTTTAAAGAGCAACACTACCTAGTTTAGGCTTTCAAGGCCTTGTGGTCTCTGGGACAGCTTCTGAACCAGAGACAGTTAGAATGCAAAACCAGCCATAGACAACTTGTAAATGACTGGGTGTGGCAGTGTTCCAACGAAACTGTATTTATGAGTGCTGAAATTTGAATTCCAGATCATTACACAAATATTATTCTTTTAATTTTTTTTCCTCAGCCGTTTAAAAGCGTAAAGACCATTCTCAGGGGGACCAGACAATGGTGCAGGGGTAAAACATGACACCGTGAGTCTGATACGTGTGAGACGGTTCTGGACCCATGTCAGGAGACCTCTCCAAGTCCAGTTGGCCCTGCATGCCCATGATCCAGGGTTGGCTGGGAGTGGATTGCAGCATCAAGACCCTGCCCTGTTGGCAATCTGACTGCCTGTCTCTGGTGCCTGTCTCTCTCACTTTCTCCCTCATGCATGTGAAATAAATATATAAATAAGCTTCAGAAAATCAAGCAACCATTCTTAGCTCATAGATTATTACAAAACAGGCAGCAGGCTGCCTTTGACCGGAGAGCAGGGCTGCTGTTGCCGACCTCTGGCTACAGGTGATGGGAGGGGGTGCTCTAAGGTGTTTGAGGGCAGCAGGGAGGGGAGTAAGATTCCAGGGCTCAGGTCTGGCTGAGTAACAGTTTGGGTGATGGATGGTGAGGACCTGAAGTAAGGCAATGTTAACAGGGATGCAAGGGACCAGCACTTGGCGTAATGGCTATGTCGCTGGACTCCCATTCGTCAACTGTGATTCGAGTCTGGACCCAGTGGCTTAAACTCACGCTAGGCACATGTGCATGCATGCCCAAGATCCTGAGAGGAGAATGGAAGAGAAAGGATTGTAGCATGACTATCCCCCCTGGGAAGGTGATTTCTTGTTTTTGGTCTCTCTATCTTTCTGGTGAGCGCATACACCCTATAGCAAACCCCCCCCCCAAAAAAAAAGGATGTGAAAGAAAGACTTGCTTCAAGATGTAATTTTGGAACAAAATCAGCAGAACTTGATCGTGGATGTGCAGGGTAAGGAATAAAAAAACAATGTTGTGAGACCATCAGATGGTGTAATAATTATATCACTGAAATCTCATGTGGTCAAATGTGGTTCAAGTCCTGGACCCGGCAGCTTGAAACTCATAGCGGATGCTTGTGTGTGCCCAAAACCCCAAGAAGAGAATGGAAGAAAAGGGATTGTGGTATGACCATCCCCACAAGGGGTGACTTTGTCTGTCTCTATCTCTCTATCAAGCACGTGTGCCCTATAAATAAATAAATAAATAAAATTTTTTTAACAACTCGTAAAAAACTAATAATAATAATGTTGCAGTATCGGTTTAGTAGTCAGGTGGCCCCGCTCAGCAGGATCCTCATGTTTTCGCTGACCAGCAAGGAAACATGGGATGTCTTAATTCACACTGAGTTCTGGGGCCATTGACAGGGTCTTCCTTTGATCTGCAGACAGAGATTAATACTGGTCTCATCACTTAGTAGTAATCATCTTGTTGGCTGTTGAATGGGTAGCCTAATTCTGAGTGTTCCTCTGTAAAAATGATACTGTAGTGGTCTGTAAGAATTATCATACCATATTGACATGTTTTTCTGTCCCATCCCACCAAAGGAGTGGCTAAATAATTTTTCAAAGTACATGAACTCAGTACATAAGCCAGGGTTTCTTATATTGGAAGAAATCCAAGTGGTAGAATTTAGGACATTGATTGTAGTATTAAGAGAACTCCCACTTTCTCTGTTTATTCATAAATGTACTTTTTCCAGATCTCAGCAACTTTTGTCTTCCAGCAAACAGTGGAGAACCTCAACCTTGTAATCCCAGTTGTTGGTAAATGTTGCATTACCATAAGATTGCATAAATTGCCAGTGTAGCCCTGCAAAGCTGCCTCCCACTCTCCCCTTCTTGAGGATATCTACTATTTGAACATTAATGAAAGCTGAGTTAAAAGTGTGTGTGTTTGTGCGTGTGTGTGTGCACGTGCACGCATGCATGAGTGCATGCACATTTTTGTGTGTGTGGTGTACATCTTGCAAGTGTGCATTAAAATAATACTGATGAGATTGGAGTGAATATACTAAATGTATTTTGTATTATCATGTCCTTGACTATCACGATGTGGACGTTTCCCCTTGTTTGGTACTAGTTTTCTCCTGTAGTATGAAGTAGCCAAATTCAGTCTCAGTCTAGGATTCTTTCACTGTTCTCTGTGGTCATCTGCCCAAGAAGTCTGTTCAATTGGTATGTGAAAAGATGGGTGTGAAAATGACTGACCAGCTGAAATTTGAAGTACTGAAAAGATTGTTTTACTATCATAAGACAAAGAGTTGGCAAGTTACTGGTGTAGAGGTTCTTATACCAAAAGAAATTCTTCTCAATATGGTCACCCTAGCTTAGAACAGAAGTTTGGATATGAAGGTACTAATCTCCCTGAGAGGGAAGTCTCATCCTTCCCTTTTGCTTTCCACCTCTCTCCCCTCCACCTCCTTCTCTAAGCCTCAGCCCTGGCACCCTAAGTGCCATACTGAATGCTTATTAGTGTCGTGATTGTAGTAACAACAGGAGCTTGTGTTGATGCCTCATGTTCCCACCTGTAGGTTGAGATATGCATTAACACCTCCAGTTTACAGATGGGAAAGTGAGACCTGGACAGCAGCCCAAGACCACATGGCTGCTGGTTGATGGAGCTGAGGCTCAAACCTGGAGTGTGCATCTCAGTAGAACCTTGGTGTATGGACCTCTGGGAAGTGCCTGCAGGGCCAACCCCGACACTCCTGCATCCTCACCATCGGACTATTGCATACATGGCCAGACTAAGCCAGCCTCACTGACAGGCCATCCACTGGGCCGAACTCCAGAGGCTCTGTGACTATGAACCTCCCTGGCCACCTTCTGAGCTTCTGCTAGTCCTCAGACCTCTTTCCTATCGCAAGTCTTCAGATCAGAGCCAGCTCATAATGTAAGTGCCTAGGAGTGGCCAGGAAGGCTATGTCACTGGGCACCATCCACTCTCTTCCTACCTAAACTAAAAAGGGTTTATTGGGGCAGAATCTGCTCCTGAGTTCTTCCCCAGAGAGTTCTGAAATTGGTGTCCTTTAATCAGTATCCACCACGATGCTGAAATCTTGTCTCCCATCATCTCTTCCTGGGTTATCACAGAGGCCTCTTTAAAAAAAAAAAAAAAAAAAAAAAGATTTTTGCCATAGGGCACATGTGCTCACCGGAGAGACAGAGAGACAGAAAGCAAGCATCCCCTGCAGGGATGGCCACACCACAGTCCTTTCACCTCCACTTTCCTCTCGGGATCTTGGGCACGCACGCACACGTCCCCAGTGTGTTTTAAACCACCAGCTCTGGGACTCTAACTGTGGTCTACTGCATGGTAGTCCAGCGACATCACCATTATGCCATCTACTGGTTCCTCACAGAGGCTTCTTAACTGAGTTCTCAGTCTTCAGGCTCATCCCCACCCTAGCCCATTCTTCACCCGGAGCCAAATGTTTCTATAACATAAACCTGATATCTACTCCCTTGCATTACAACCTATGCGGCTTCCCATTGCTCTTAGGATACAGAACAGTCCTTATAGGTCACTCATAAAACCTGAGTTGTCCGGCCTCTGCTCACCTTGCTAGCCTCTTACCCCTTGCTTTCTCTATCCAGCTTTCAAAACCTGCTGTTATTTTTCCAGAGAGCATGGCTTTGTCTGACCTCTTTACTCATGTGTCTACCCTATCACCGTCATTATGAACAATTCAGTTCACAGAGTATAAGCCCAACAAACATCTTTTACAAGAATAGATGAAAATTATTCCATTTTAACAGTTTGAATCTGTTCATTTCCCACATTCTTTATCTGTTTTTGCTAAGTCAGCTTCTTCTGTCTTTTTAAATGTTGACACTTTATTTTCTTCTTCTTCTTCTGTCCTTCCCTTAACTCTTGGGGTCCTCCCTTTTAAAAATGTTCTTGGCTTTTTTTTTTTTCCTTTAATGCCACAGAGCGCAGGGGCCCAGGGGAGAGGGACAGGGGGAAAGAGAGAGGGAAAGTGAGAAGGCAACCCCCAGGGGGCATGACCACACCGCAGTCTTGTCTCCACCATCTTCCTCTTGTGATTGTGGGCACGCACTTGCGTACACACGGTACTTTTCAAGCTGCCGGGTCTGGGACTCAAATTGCACAGTCGGCCATGCAGGATCCAGCTACCTTAACCACTAATCTACCTAGCTAGCTCTATTCTTGGCTACTTTTCATTATTTCCTTCAAGATAGCCAGCGTGACAACTCTGGCCAACTTAGACCTGTGTTTACAAGGACCATTGAGAAATATGAAATCTCACAGCTGACAGTGCCCCTTCTGGGGCAGCCCACCCCTGTTGAAGGAGTATTGTGGTTATTGCACCCTTTCTTATAGGGATGGAATCTTTTTTTCAATGATTTCTTGATGTGAGCAGGAAGGAGTAGAGAAAAAAAGCAGTTTGTGATGAGTGGTGGTTTTGAAAAAAATAGGAAATCGTGTGCTGTAAAAAGGGACCTCTAAAAATAGAATGAGGCTGGCAAAAATGATTCATAGTAAGGATGTAGATGTGGATTTTCTTAGCACATCCCACCTTCGATTTCCTACCACTGTTACAGCAGACATGCTGTTGACATTTCCCTAATTCATAGCCTTGTTCTGTGTTGCTTTTTCTGTCTCCAGAGGTGACATTGAAGGTGCACATCAGTGACGCCAGCACTCACCAGCCCATTGCGGATGCGCTCATTGAGATCTTCAGCAACCAGGTCCCCATCGCCTCTGGTACCTCGGGGACAGATGGTGTCGCCTTCGTCAAGTTCCAGTACAGACTGGGCAGTCAGCTCATTGTCACCGCTACCAAGCATGCCTATGTGCCAAACTCTGCCCCGTGGAAGCCAATTCGATTACCTGGTAAGGCGTTCTCAGCCTGTCTCTAAAACAGAGTTCACAGCAAGTAATGATGACGTAAGACACAGAAATAATTTTGAAAGTGTACGTCAGACCTCTGTACATTCTGTCTGTTTATTCTTGGCTTTATTCCGGGGGACCTCCTTACATGAAGGGAAGGTCAGGTCACAGTAGGAAGTTGGTTGAGACTCTGCCTTATACTCATAACACAATGAAATCAAAAGCTTTAGAGTTTCAGCTCATTTCCCCAACACTCTATTTTCTCTTTCTTTTTTTCCTTTTATTGTAAATTGACAATTTAAAATTGGGTGCATTTCTGGAGTATGAAGTGATGTTTTAACTTATGAATAGAATGTGGAGTAATTAAATCAAACTAGTTAACATATCCATCACCTCAAATTCTTAACATTTTTGTGGTGGAAACATTAGAAATGTACTCTTAGCAATTTTAATACTCTATTATCAACTATATTCACCACACTGTGCAGTAGAACTCAAAAAAGAAAAAAAAAAAAGTATTCCTCTTGTCAGATTTTGTACCCTTTGACCTTTATTTCCCCATTTCTTCCAGCCACCAATCTCTGTAACTACCAGTCTACTCTCTGCTTCTATGATTTCAATTGTTTTAGGTCCCGCTCTTAAGTGAGAACACACAGTATTCATCTTCCCTTGCCTGGCTTATTTCACGTAGCATAAAGGTCTCCAGTTTCATCCATGTTGTACACATGAAGGGATTGCCTCCTTTCTTCAGGCTGAGTAGAATTCCATTGCCTGGCAATGAGGACAGTATCCGGGCAGTGCTTTAGGATGGGCTTTCCTCATTCTGCTTCTCAAACCCTCTTTCTCAGCTGCCACACCAGTGGCCCAAAACCAAGAATGTCCAAAGAGGTAGGAAGTGACTGAAGGGCTGTTTTCTCTTTTCTCCCTTTCTGTCATTCACCACTCCAGTCTAGGACAAAGAGCAAAGATGGCATCTGACACCGATTCAGCTTGGTTTAATTAAGTGGGGAGCAGCGATTCCTTCTGCCCTCTCACCTCACCTAATGCCTGCCTGGCCACATTATCCATTATCTCCAAGACTGGGTAGATGACAGGGCTCAGGCTAGGAGTTGGAGAGAGCTGTTGCTGGGGCCAGAGACAAGTGTGGGCTTTGGAAGCAGACTAACCGAGGTCTATGTTAGAGCCCCTCTAGCTACAATGTCAACCTCTGTAAAATGGAACTAAGACTACCCTGTTGACTAGTTACAATTGAATATTAGTTAATATGTATAAACTAACTTATAGCGCCTAAAAAATAGTAGTTTCTCAATAAACAGGTAGCATCAAGCACAGTGCCAGGCCAAATGCCTGTTCACGCCCATCTCTGTCTTGAAGCACAGCTAGACACTGTCTCAGGAACCCTGCTGCCTATGGGGACATGTGTCCACACATGGAAGTATTTTCTCTGTCTAATGAAGTCTCAGTATTTATTCAGTTCACATGTATTAAAGTCCCTGCTGTGTACCAGGTGCTGCCCCAGGGACTGAGAATATAGATGTCAAGATATAGATCTTGCTTCCTAAAGAGTTCATAGTTTGGTTATAAAGCCAACAATACAAGAAATTTCCATCTAACTGGATAAGTGCTCTGATAGGCTTGTGTGCAGGAATATGTTTGAGAGAGGGGAGAGGAAGAGGTTTAGCCATCCTGCGAGTAAATGAAGGCTTTCTAGAAGGGGCAAGAGGGAAGCCGAATCTTAAAAATAGGTATGAACTTCAAAAGGTTCTTGTTAAAAAAAAAAAAAAAATAGATAGGTAGATAGATTCTGAGGCCAGCAGGTGGGGTAGTAGATAGTGGTTAAGGCACTGGATTTCCACCTGGCTGACCAGAGTTTGAGTCCTAGACCCGGCAGTGGGAGAATTATACCAGGTGTGTTTGTGTGTGTGTGTGTGTGTGTGTGTGTGTGTCTGTGTGTGCCCACAATCCCAAGAAGACAAGAAGAGTATGGAGAAGTGATTGTGGTGTGGCCATCCCCCACAGGGGTAATTTCTTATTTTCCCTCTCTCCGACTCTCCCCATTGAGCACATGTGCCCAAAGAAAAAAACCTTAAATAATACATACATACATACAGATGCCAGGACCCAACTCTTCATTCTGGGGAGGTCTTGTACTCTGCATTGTAACAAGCAACACCGCCCCAACTCCACCACCAGATGCTATGGATAAAAGTGTCCCCTGAAGTTTGAGACCCCTGCTTTGTATGCAGTGGGAAATGGATTTGATATGGATACAAATGAGACCACTTAGAAAATTTTTAGAGAAAAAGTAACAAATCTGAGAAGTATTCAGCAGGCAAAATCCAGAAGGCCCTGGGGAACAAACGTGTAGGAGAGAGGATGACATAGAGGAAAAAGCTGAGCTGCAGGTCCTGGCTGGTGCCACTGTGGATGACACGTGTGGTGGCACACAGCACAGATAGAAAATCTGCTGTGCCATGTGTCCCTCATGTAGATTCAACAGCTTCCTGCATGCAGGACCAGCAGATGGTGTAATGATTACGTCGCTGGACTCCCACCTGGCCGACCGTGGTTCGAGTCCCACACCTGGCAGCTGCAAATTCACACCATGTGCTCATGTGTGCATGGCCAAAATCCTAAGAGGAGAATGGAGGAGAAGAGATTGTGGAGTGCCCTTCCCCCTGGGGGGAGATTTCTAGCTTTCCGTTTGTCTCTCTCTGTCTCCAGCAAGTATACACGTCCTATAGCAAAAATGAAATAAAACCAGTTCCTCTCCCAAGGCTCTAGCTTCAGGCACAGTTGGATAGAGGTGCTTAACTGAAGTTAAGAAAGGGGGGGACAGGGACATGTGTTAGAATTATATTTTTCTAGGAAAAACTGCATCATGACTTTTCTGATGACCCAATAGTTAAAGACAAACTTAGTTTAGGTATACTTGGTTCAGTTGTCTCTGAGACACCAAGTGAGCAATTTGTTCTTTAGTTTGAAATGAATTGGGGTTCCACAGAGAGATCTAGCATAGTAGTTTAGTTTGGTGTCATCAGTGGTGTTGAGTTTGGGAGTCAAAACCATGAGCTCAACCAAAGCAGAGGGCAGCAGGCCTGGGCCAGAACCCTGCCTGGGAAGGGCAGCAGAATAAGAAAAGCAGTCTTCATTAGGTCACCCTCAGGGAAACATGTGACCTCCCCATTTTTTACATTGAGAAGTCACTGGACATAACCTAGGGGATGTTGAGACAGTCAGGAAAGCAACTGCACAAAGTACAGCCTCACCCCTTTGTTCATAGTGGTTATAGTTCCTATTGCATTGTCTGGGACACCGAGTTAGCAGATACCAAATCACTCCCACAGAGGACCTACAGGGCCAGGTTCCTGTGAGCTTCAGGTCACATTTCCATCAGTTGGTCAAGACATAATGTTGTCTTGTATGTATTTCTGTTTAAGGACACTTTATCTAATATATAGTCATCCTTGCTATGGGTGGGGGATTGGTTCCAGCATACTCAAATCCTTGGATGTTCAAGTATCTTCTATAAAGTGATGTATTTGCATATAACCTATAACCTACACACATCCTCCTGTATCGTCTACATCAGTCCTAGATTACGTAGGACACCTAATACAGTTAAATGCTATGTAAATAGTTGCACTGTATTGTTTAAGGGAATCATGGTAAGAAAAATATCTGTACATTCACTCCAGACACACCATTGTAGTACTTTTTTTTTTTTTTACTTTGGAGAGGTTTTTGCTGTAGGATGTGTGTGCTCACCAGAATGACAGAGACAGACAGAGGGACAGAAAGTGAGAAATCACCCCCCAGGGGGGATGGCCACGCTGCAGTCCCTTCTCCTCCATTCTCTTCTGGGGATCTTGGGCATACACGCACCCAGCATGAGTTTAAGCCACCAGGTCCGGGATTCGAACCATGGTCGACTACATGGGAGTCCAGCGACATAGCCATTACGCCAACTGTTGGTCCCATCATTGTAGTTCTAACAACATAAGGCACATCCACAACAAGGGAACATTTCTGATCCATGGTTGGTCGATCTGGGCATGTGGAACCCATCAATACAGAGGGCCTGCTGCACCTTATTGATTGCTTAACATTGAACTCGGCTCTGAGCCCTGTAAATTGTCCCTGTAAGAAACTTCTCTAACACACGTATTTTCTCCATAAGGCACATCACAACCTTAATGTGTTCAGGAACACTAAATGCCATGTTAGCACTATGCTTGGGTACCATTTTAAATAGCAAAATCACTAACAAAAAGTATTTTAAAAAATAGGGGCCAGCACATGGTGTGATGGTTGAGGCACTGGACTTCCACCTGGCCATCTGCAATTCAAATCCCAGACCTGGTGGCTTGTTTCCTTGTTTTCCCTTTCTCTGTCTGTCTCTCTCTGGTCAAGTTTAAAAATAATAATAGTACATAAATAAAATAAAATAAATATTATTTTTTTGAAAAGCACAAAAAATATGAAAAGCTCGACACTATAGCTGGAGGAAAGGATGAGAAGTGAAACAGGAAGAAACAGTGTCTCTCTGTTCAACCTCAGCTGGGCCACGAGCATCAAGAGACGCCAATGTTTGGCCACTCCTATATGCACGTAGAAAGGACTGTTAGGATTGAGGTACAAATTTTGTAAGTAGGAGCATTCTCAAATATAAAATTCATGAATAATGAAGACCAATTATACCGAAGATTGATTTTTGACTCTGTTAATGTGATCATCTGAGAAAAATTAACTGTTTCCACAATATCTTTTGTCTTAATGAATCAAGTAATGGGCCCAACAGAGTTTCACTGGAAGTGTTTGGAACAAGGCATTTAGACACCCGGATCCTACGGCTGCCCAGCCTCAGCAGGCCCCACACATGTGGGCCCATCGACACTTTCTGAACCTGTGTTCAGTAATTAGCCTGAATAATTTGTAAGGGCTCTCCCACATCTTTGATTATTTTACTATGCTTGCCTTTTCAATATAAAGAAGCAGATACT